TTAGATGAGTGTGGTTCACCAGCTATTAACCATTTGGCAGATATAAGTTTGAAAATAAATGACCTTGAGAATTTCAAATACCGTTATCTGGGAAACAACTGGACGGTTTTTGTCGTGACTTCCATACGACCATGTACAATACATGGCTTCACTTTGACATGAGTAAGGTCAACCTGGTATTTACGGTTTGGCAGGGATAGATGAGAATAGATATGACCTTGAGAAACTTAAAGACCTATATGTGGGAAACTAGTGGATCGATCTTATCCGTGACATCCATATGACTTTGATTTTTACGTGATTTCATCTTGACATGAGTATGGACAACCAGGTAGTTACGGTATAGCAGAAATAAGCGTCAAAATATATGACCTTCAAAATTTAAAAAACCTCTTTCTGGTACATAACCTAACGTAATCCAACACATTGAAATGACCTGACCTAAACTAAACTAATCCAAACTAATCCAGCTTAACACAAAGCACCCTGACATAAAGAAAGATAAACCTACAGAACCTAACATAACCCAACCTAACCTAACCTAACCTAACAAAAACCTAACTTACAAAAACCCAAACTAATCTAAACCAACATAACCTAACCCAAACTAATCTACCCTATAATAAACCAACCCAATCTAACCTAAATTAACCTAACCCAACCCGACCGAACCTAACCTAACCTAACCCAACCCGACTCAAACCAACCTAACCTAACCTAACCTAACCTAACCTAACACAACCTAACATAAGGTAACGTAACCCAAAACATGCTAACGTAACCACTAGTTCTTCTGAAGTACTGCAATATAGCCAAAAATAACCATCCCCTACGTAAGATAAGGTAGACATGCCGAAACGTGACATGCTGATCACGCGTGCTCAAGCGTGACATACCGTGACTAAGCGTGATCTCCGCTCACGTCGTGATAAGGGATCACCTTAAGTGTCAAATTGTGATAAAGATTTACAAAGCGTGAGTAAACGTGACTAAGCGTGACAAAGCGTGATGAAGCGTGACTAGGCGTGATTTACTGTAAAGGCGTGACGAGTTGTGACCAGAAGAGTCGAAAGATGACGAATTTAAACAAAGCGTGACCTTGCGTGACAAAGCGTGACTAGTCGTGACGTACTATAATGGCGTAACGAATTGTGGCCATAAGCGTCGAAAGTCACAAAAATTTCAAAAGCATTACCGAACGTAACAAAAACACAAACCTAACCTAACCTCACCTAACCCAACCCAACCCAACCCAACACAAAGCAACCTAACCTAACCTAACACAACCTAACCTAAGCTAACGTAACCCAACACATGCTAACGTAACCACTAGTTCTTCTGAGGTATTGCAATGTAGCCAAAAATGACCGACCCCTACGTAAGATAAGGTAGACGTGCCAAAACGTGACATGCTGATCACGCGTGCTCAATCGTGACATAGCGTGACTAAGCGTGACCTTCGCTCACGTCGTGACTACGGATCACCGTAAGTGTCGAATTGTGTCGAAGATTTACAAAGCGTGAGCAAACGTGACTAA